ATGAAACCTGAAAAACCATGAAATATATAGTTAGTGCCTCATAAGTGCCAGGTATTGGTCCAAGCCCAGGACAGGTGTTAGCTATTAATCTTTATAACAACGCTATGAGATAGGTTTTGTTAATATCACCACTATTTTATAGATTTTTTTAAAAATTCAAGGTACAGAGAGGTGGAGTAAGTGATATGAAACCTGAAAAACCATGAAATATATAGTTAGTGCCTCATAAGTGCCAGATATTGGTCCAAGCCCAGGACAGGTGTTAGCTATTAATCTTTATAACAATGCTATGAGATAGGTTTTGTTAATATCACCACTATTTTATAGATTTTTTTAAAAAATTCAAGGTACAGAGAGGTGGAGTAAGTGATCCAGGACCACACAGCTGGTGTCAGAGCTGGTGTCTGTTCTCTTTAACCCTGTGCTCTTGTGACAAGATATTTCTCTAGATCTGAGGCTTAACAGACATAGGCAAGACTTTGGCCCTGAGCCATTCCTGCACATACATTGACTACCCTGTCAAGTTCACCCCCTTAATCATTCCTGAACCATCCCTATCCACACCCACTAGCTACCCTAGGTCATTCCCTCAGGATAAGCTACAGGGAGGTGTGTTATCTGTCACGAGGATCATCACAGTAGATAACATTAACTGCCAGGTCTGAAGGTGCCAGGCACTGCTCCTATCATTTTTATCTTCCTATATAGGCTCTGAGGTGGGTCCTGGTATCACCTGCCGTTTACAGCCTTTGAAGCTGAGAGAGATGAAATGGGGACTCAGAGGCACCAGGATTCTCCTGAGAGGCTAGACCACAATCCAAGTCTTGCCCTTTTTCTCCCTGCCTCCCCTGGTCACCTCATCTATCAGTAACGATGCCAACCAAGGTTACTTTGCATGAGCGCTTTGCATGCCAAGTTCTACCTTATAAAGCTAATCTCTTAAACACACAGGGAGGTCAAGTTGTGCTCCCAAGGAACTATGGTGCACAGCTCCCCTTACAGGAATGAAGGATGGACTGTTAGTGCCACTCTGAGTTGTCTGTCCCCTTTGGGGCAGGCTCCAGTTGCACAGAGCGTGTTCTTAAGATGCCACCCCACTTCCAGGGATACCCTCATCCAATGAAGGCCAAAGCCATCAGAGGGACCATCCCATCTTCAGAATGCCCCACAGGGTTGGGTCAACAATAGTGTCAGCTGAGGTGTCCCTCAGGATGGTACCATACACTCAGCTGTCCCCCTTTGCCTAGTCCTGCTCCCTCCTTCCTTCCTACAGATGCCGGCCCCCAGGGGAGCCCCAATAATCTCTGGCCATGGTGAGGCCCAGATGTGGGCCTCAATCCCTTCCCCCCAGTTCTGGCCTCAGAGGCTTCTCTGCTCCACAGTAACTGTAAGGAATGGGATAGCTGGGCTGCCTGGTATAAGGGGGTGGTTAGGCTCCTATGGTCACCCCAACACAAGAGAGCTCTAGGTATCTCTGGGAGTCCACTGCTGTCTGGCCAGTTTCCCTATAGGGTGCAGAACCCAGAGCTGGTGGCTCACAGCAGTGTATACAGGCTGGAACTGATCTTGGACCTTAAATGAGGCTTTTAAGTCATCCACTTTTTACCTTTTCTTCACCTCCTGAGGAACTCCCCTGCTCCGCACAGCCGACTACCCTTCACCAAAAGCTTAGCCAGCTCTGAGGAAGGCCGGCATCTGCTGTAGCCCGTCTGTGGTCCCCAAGATGCAGTGCACTCCTGACTCAGTTCATAGGGCTCCCAACCCTCCACAGAGGCCACAGCAGCCCCTGCAGTGCACCTTCTGGGGCACTCATTCCACCTCTGAAGTCTTGGTGTTACTGGAAGTTGAAGGACATAACCTAAGATTGTTTTGACCATCTCTATTTCCTAGACCACAGACACCGTTTTCCATCCACCATGACTCACATAAACCTATGGGAGGACTCTCCACACCGAGTTCCCAGGAGGGTCAGAGTCTAAGCTATGTCTCTTTTCAGTCCCTTTTGCACAGATTTTGTGACAAGCCTGGTGAGATGGCTGCAGTTGTCCGAAGCTGTCCTGCCAACCATGACTGCATTTGCCAGCGGTCTGGGAGGTGAAGGAGCCGACATGTTTGCCCAGACTTTATTGAAAGACCCTGTCCTGAAGGGCGACCCCTCAGCGATCACTCAGGTATGCCTGTCACTGGGTGGCAACTGCTGGGGACAGGGGAGCGAGGCATTTTCCTTCCAAGTCAGTCTGGTGGGTTGGGGTGACCACACACCCAACACTTCATTGTGTGTTCTGGATGTAATCATAGCTGATGTTTCGTTATCAATGTGGAAAACATTACTACTCCTTTAATTCTCTTGTGGCATTTATTATGAGCTTGTCCCTTTACAGAAATTAATGCATTTAATTCTCAACCTTCTGAGGTAGATGATGATACAGGTTGAGTGTCCCATGTCCCAAGGGCTTGTAGTCAGATGTGTTCTAGGCTTCAGATTGGTGAGGAGATGGGGCTTGGAATATTTGCACATACATAATAAGATCTCTTTGTGATAGGACTCAAATTCTACACACAAAATTTATTTACGTTTCATATACATCTTATGTATACAGTCTGAAGGTGATTTCATGCAATATTTTATGGGGCTAAATCCGACTCCCTCTTCTGACCTCCACAGCATTGCATGCACATGGTACAGTTACATACATGTAGGCAAAACGCTCATACACATAAAATTTTAAAAATTAAATCAAAACAATTTTGAGGGCATTGGATCCCCTGGAACTGGAGCTACAGATGATTGGTAACTGCCATGTGGGTGCTGGGAACTGAACCTGGGTCCTTTATAAGAGCTGCCAGGGCTCTGAACTGCTGAGCCATCTCTCTAGCCCCTCATATAACACTAATACTTCAGTACATGGAACAAAACACAGTTTTTCCATTTCCAGCACTATGTTGGCACTCCAAAAGTTTTGGAATTGGGGGCCTGGAGTGATGGCTCTGTTGTTAAAAGCACTTTCTGCTTCAGTTCCCAGAAAGCATGTGGTGGCTTAAACTGCCTGGAACTTCAGTTCCAGGGGCTCTAACACCCTCTTCTGGCCTCCTCAGACACCTTACATGCATGTGGTACACATAAACTCAGGCATGCTCACACACATACACATAAACTAAATAAATAAATCTTTTTAAAAAATAACGTTTTGGCCGGGTGTGGTGGCGCATGTCTTTAGTTCCAGCACTGGGGAGGCAGAGGCAGGCAGATCTCTGTGAGTTCAAGGCCAGCCTGGTCTACATAATGAGTTCCAGGCCAGCTGGAGCTGCAGGGAGACCCTGTCTCAAAAAGACAAATTAGTAAATAAAGTTTTGAATGGTGTTTCTGTTTTCTTTTGCTTTTTGGCTATTTTATAGTTAAGGAAACTGAGCCACAGGGAGATTAATTTACTTGTCCAAGCTCACACAGTTGATAAGTAGCCAAGCTAAGATTTGAACCTTGGAGGTCTAACTTCAGGGCCTGCATTCTACTGAGCTATGATACTTTTGTCCTGAAGCAGCAGCTTTTCTGTGTGGCCTCAGACATATATCACCTTCTCTGTGTGTAGATAAAGGCGGCAGAAGCTTGTGCCATGGGCTGCTGGTGGCCATATGCACAGGTAGAAAGCAGTGCCCCCCTCCTCCCATTCCGGCATGCTTGTTCACTCACATGCACACCTGCCACCCGACTCGCTGTGGTACTGTAGGGTAGAGGGTGTTTGTTCATCTTGCTCTCCAAGTACTATCTGTCTAAACTAGGAAACGGCCTGTCAGCTCCTCACTGATTCCTGCCTCCTTTTCCCACAGGACCTTCTCAGCTTCTCACTCAAAGATGGTAAGTGGATTTGCTTGTGTATAGCCCAGTGTCTTCAAGAGCACTCTGTGCTGAGCACCTTGTGATATTGCTCAAGGCTTATTTCATTCTTCCTCCAGCTGACTGCCCCTCCCCCATCACCCAGCACTGTGGGACTTACCCCCCCATTGTGCCCTCCTAAGTGACAGCTGCTGTCTCCTCACTGTCACTCTGGCCAGTACCCTGCTCTCCACTTGTCTCAATGATGTTTCCTGAGGCCTGTCTTGCCTCCCTGCCTGTGCTGGATAGCTTTAGTGTCAACTTGACACACCTGGGTTGAGGGAGCCTCAGTTGGGGAATTTCCTCTATTGGACTGGCCTGTGGCCATGTTCATGGGGCACCTTCTTGATTGTTGAGTGATGTGGGAGGGCCCAGCTCACTGTGGGTGGTGCCACCCCTGGGCAGGTGGGCCTGTGTTGCATAAGAAAGCAGGCTGAGCCGGGGCCAGGGAACAAGCCAGTAAGCAGTGTTCCTCCATGGCCTGTGCTCCAGCTCCTGCCTCCAGGTTCCTGCCCTGAGTTCCTACCTTGGGCTCCTTGATGAACTGTGACCCAGTAGATATAAGGTAAGTAAACCCTTTCCTCCCCAAGTTGGTAGTGGTCAGAGTGTTTTGTCACAGCAATGAAGAGACAAACTAAGACACTGCCTCAGACCTGTTCAGAGTTCAAGCACCTCTGGAGTGGCCCTGATGCCAAGTTGCTCTGCTCGTCCCCACCTGTCACCTCCTCATTCAGTATAATCGAACCCTGCCTCCCAAGTGATGCTTCCACCAGCCCTGGCTCCATGCAGCTCCCTGGGTGCCCAGCACTTTCTGAAGTGCAGAGTCCTTTGTCCACCCTCCCCTTTTTCCCTTGCATACACTGTCCAGCCTGGAAATCGCACCTTGAGCCCTTTGCTCAGACCTTTCCTCCCTCCTTCCTCTCAGCCCTCGATTGCTTGGTGTGTTTGTCACTTTTCTCGTTGCTGTGACAAAATTCCTGACCAAAAAAATTAAGGGAGAAAGAGTTTATTTTGGCTCACAGTTCAAGAGTGCAGTTCACCTTGGCGGGGAAGGCATGGCGGCAGGAGCGTGAGGCTTGTGGTCACGTTGCAGTCGGGAAGCAGAGAGAGATGAATGCTGGTCCCCTACTTATGTTCTTCCTTTTATTAAGCCCAAGACCCCAGCCTACAAGATGACCCCCAAGTTCAGGGTGGGTCTTCCCTCCTCAGTTAAACCTCTCTGGAAACAGCCTCACAGATACACCCTGAGCTGTCTCTCCTAGGTGATTTGGCATCTAGCCAAGTTGATAGTGCAAACTAATCATTTCAACTTCACCCCTTGTCAATTTGACACCAAACACATCATTTAAATTTTTTTCTTTTGGTCTTTTTGAGACAGGGTCTCTCTGTAGCCCCAGCTGTCCTGGAACTCACTATGTAGACCAGGCTGACCTTGAACTCAGAGATCCGCCTGCCTCTGCCTCCTGAGTGCTAGGATTAAAGGTGTGCACCACCACACCTTAAAATGTTTTTTATTTTACGTTATCTGTGTGTGTGTGCATGTGTGTGTGTGTGTGTGTGTGTGTGCACACGTGCTCACACACACACACACACTTGAGTGCAGTTCCTGTAAAGCCTGGAAGAGGGTGTCAGATCCTCTTGTGCTGGAGTTACAGGTAGTTGTAAGCTGCCTGGGAACCAATCTCAGGCCCTCTGCAAGAGCAGTGTGCAATATGCTGAGCTATATCTCCAGTCCCCAAAGGCACAGAGTAAGCATTCCAAAAGGGAGGGATGGGGCTAGCAAGTACAGAACAGGTCAGAGTAAAGCTGAAACCCCAGAGGGTAAACACCACATCCTGCAGCCCCATGTCTGGAATCTGGGGCTCGTAGTGGGGTCTCCTGTGCCCCAGCAGGCTTGGGCAGCCCCGCCTCTCCATTCTACCACCTGCAGCACAGATAGCAACTTGCAGCTTTTCTTGGTGGATGTCCCGTGGAGTTGGCATCTCCAGCACCCTGAGGTTGGATCTTGGACTTCACCTTCACAGCCTCATTCAATGGCCTCTATGGAAGGGAGGGAATCCAGCCCTGCCATTCAATGCCTGGCTTCCATGGCTTTCTGGAACCTTGGTGCAAGGCTCCATGACTTGTAATTGTTGAATTCTGTATACCTATAAAGCCAGCACTATGTGACTAAAATGCCATATTCTATTGCCAGCTTGAGATGAAGCCTGGCTTCCTTCCATAACTGTTGCAGTGACCCCTGTGCATCTTAGTGGCCGATCCTGGGAAAACATTCCCTTAGGCAGTTATTTTCAACCAGAGAACTCAGTGGCATTCAGTTCAAGCTCTTCCTTTCAAATGAATTTGTATTTTCACAAGTTGGAGCCCTGGGTGGGGTCTTCCAAGCTCCTACCAGAGCAGCTCATTAAGATCTGCTTACAGCAGTCTACTGTTTTCTAACCTACAGCTCCAGACTCTTCCACACTTGTCCTGAAAACCAGTTCAAAGGTCATCAGGTAGTCATAACAATGGCCCTATTTCTCAGTACCAATCTTCTGTATTAATTACTTTTTTCATTGCTATGACAAAATACCTGACAAAAACTATGTAAGAAAAGAATTTATTTTTGGCTCATAGTTTCATGGTATAGTCCATCATGGAGGGGAAGGCCTCCATGGGTGGCAAAAGCCGCTTCTAGCTGTAGCAGTAGGAGCAGGAAGCGGCTGGTCACATAACATCTGCAATTCAGTGTGACTTTTTGAAACCACTTCACTACCACGGAACTTTGGGGTCAAATACAGCACCAGGCGCATAGCAAATACCCAATGAATGAGTTCAGGGTAGGTCTGCTGCCCCTCTTTATGGAGGAAGTCAGTTCAGGGAGGGTCAGCAATTTCATCTGCCAAAGTTGCTCAGTGAGCGGCAGGGCCAGAGTCTACCTGGGGGCGCCTGTGAAAAGTTACCACTAACCATGTGACTCAAAAATTGTAGAAACTTATTCTCTCCTGGAGCCACAAGTCTGAAATGGACAGTGGAGCAGTGCTCACTCTGGAGGCTCTAAGAGGATCTTCTGTGTCTCTTTCAGTTTCTCATGGTTCCCAGAGCACCTTGGACCTCAACTCTCATCACTCTTGTCTCTGTCCTGGTCTTCTCAAGGCCTTCACATTTTCTCTCTCTTACCCTCTGTGTCTTTCTTAGATGGACACTTCCATAGAACATTCTGATCCCTAGAACTTTAAAATTGGCAAGATCCTTTATGCAAATAAAGTCACATTCACAGACACAGATGTATTTAGGGCGGGAGGCACCCTTCAACCTGCAATGTGTCCCCAGCTGCCTCAGGAACACTTTCTTCTGTCACCTTCTTTCCCTGACCTCGGACTGCACAAGTGCTGTTTCCTAGCCTCTGAACTGAGTTTTTAGTCCCCAAACTAGCAGAAAAGGGCACACAAAACTGGTAATGAAAACCCCAGCCAAGTGATTAACATCAGATGTGGTGGCACATGCCTTTATTCCCGGCAATTGGGAGGCAGAAGCATGAGGATCAGGAGTTCAAGCCCAGCCTAGGCTACAAGAAACCCTGCCTCAAAAAAATGACCTGGAAAACTCTCCTGGGAGGAGCAGGAAGAGCCAAAGTTCAGCGACAGGAACAGGTGGGAAAGACCCATGGGGTTGGTAGGCAGTGGGACGCCCAGCCTACATTCTACCTTCTTTAAGACAGGGTCTCTCTGTTATTCGGGGCTGTAGACCCCAGGCTAGCTGACCCAGGAGCTCCAGGGATTCTCCTGCCTCCACCTCCCATTTCATATGGGAGCTCTGGGATTACTGATGCCCACTGCCTATGCAGCTTTCCCTGCATTCTGGGGATCTGAAATCAGGTCCTCACACTTACACAGCAAGCACTTCGTCCAGCGAGCCATCTTCCTAGCCCTGGTCCTTTTGTTAAACCATGTTGTGCTATGACAGAATGACTGAGAGTAATTTACAAAGAACAAAGATTAATTTCTGACAGTTACAAAGGCCGGGTTCGAGATCAAGGGCTCTGCAGCTAGCAAGAGCCTTTGTGGTGCAGCGTCCCATGGATGGAGGTGGAAGAGCAAGAGAGGGCAGGGAAAAGAACAAACTAAAGAAAGCAGGATGGGGGCAGGACCCTCTGGCAATACATTAATTCCTCCTGACCTAATCCACTCTTAAAGGTCCTGCCTTTTAACATTGGGACTAAGTTTCTTACTGTTGGCAGACACGGAAAAACCAGACCTACTAGTACAATCTTAGTAAGAAGAAAGCCACTGTGTGCCAAGTAGTTGCTGTAGTCGGGTCTACAATGGTTCATGCAGCCGTTGACTGTCCTGTTCCCAGTGAGGGACTTCAGGCATGTGACTCATTTGACAGACCCATCAAGGTCAGTTTGGATGATCTCATTTCCACAGGAGAGTCTGAAACCCAGAAAGGAAACGGGGTCTTTTCTGGGCGCATGGTGCAGAGGTAGACTAGGAGTTAGAGCTAGATCTTGGACCAACACTTTCTGCCATTGATTCTTTACTGGGTAGGAGAGCCTACCTTGGCCTTGTTCCTTCGTCTGACTCACTTTTTCACTTTCCTCGCCAGAGAGCCATGTGTATCCTGCCCCCTCCTCCTGCCTTCCCACCTGCAATCCACAAATGATCCTGAGTACATGTGAGCACCAAGATGTACCACTGTGCTGTGAGCAACCTTGGGGCTGGTGCTTAGATAATAACTGAGTGGATTCAAATGGCTTTATGTGCTCCTGGGGTATCTTTTTTGAAGGCAACATCTAAACCAGCTCTGCCTTTTGCATTTGTATTGAGAAAAACATTTACCACTGCCCTTACTAAGGATGGAGGATAGAACTCAGAGATCCGGGATGATGGATGGATGGGTGGATGGATGGATGGGTAGATGGATGGATGAGTAGATGGGTGACTGGAGGATGGATGAATGGATGGAACAAAGGACAGATGGATGGAATAATGAATGATAGA